GCTATATTTTGATCCGGATTACAGCACCAGTTGGAGGAATGGAAGCAGCCGGTAGATGGTTGATTCGTTTTAATAGCAAAACGTCAAACAAAACAGGTCCAACAATAAAGCAAAATAAACGACTGGAGAAGTATTCAAGGGAATCTCATACAACAGTTAATACATAAATCCTCTCAAGAACAACTTCCAAAGTATCATTAGTTGTTTACGCTTATATACCTGTGTGGGGGGAGTGGTTTTTGACTTCCCGGGTGTGTGTTTAAATCTTGTAGGCCAATGGAAGAGAGAGGCTTGGCCTCTTGTGGCCAATCATATTATTGTTCTTGTATCATGTGATGCCTGCAGTCGCCACTATGTGGTACTGCTGTTCCATGATTCAGCAGTGTTGGAAGAACCTTTCGTTGCTGAGTGGGGGGTTATCACAAGGGAAGTGGACGGAGCCATAAAGTCCAGTCAACCACAGGTGGTCATGTAGATCAAAAGGAATGGATGGCTCCGGGGTTCCTGTGAGGGCTACAAGATCGGAGCATCATGCCACGATCCAAAGAAATTCAAGAAGAAATGAGAAAAAAAGTGATGGACATCTATCAGTCTGAAAAAGGTTACAAAGCCATTTCCAAGGCTTTGGGGCTCCAGCGAACCACTGCCAGAGCCATTATCCACAAATGGAGAGAACTGGGAACAGTGGCAAACCTTTCCCGGAGTGGTCAGCCAGCTAAAATTACTCCAAGAGTGCGACGACGCCTCATCCAGGAGGGAACAAAAGAACCTAGAAAAACATCGAAAGAACTGCAGGCCTCGCTGGCCTCAGTTAAGGTCAGTGTTCATGAGTCTACTGTAAGAAAAACAGTGGCCAAAGCTGGCATTCATGGCAGAGTTCCTCAGTGCAGTTCTGAATGTAACCATTGTTCTGAACTCCTTGCTGCAAGTAAAACTTTTAAACTTTGAGATCTCGTATTTGATTCTTTATTTGATTTTTATTTGATTCTTTGTGTGTTAGGAAACTGGGGTATGAACTAACAGCATATTTTAGAGTCCTATCTAACAGAAAAAGTTTCCTGAAAGTCATGATCCAAGGTACCAACTGCCCTACCCGGGATTCGATCTTTCTCAGAAGGTGAACCCTTGGGTTCCACACCAATGACAGAGACATTGCCTCTGGGCCAAAGCGCCACAAGTCATGATCCTTTATTTGTTTTTTGTTTGTTTGTTTGTTTGTTTGTTTGTTTGTTTGTTTTTTCTCTCTTCTGTGAGTGAACAAGACTCAGTGTGATCCAAGATGGCGGTGCGTGTAGACGCACAACCCAGCCCTCCTGTGTTAGCAGCTACACACTGAGAAGGACTTACACTCAAACCAAACTAATCAACCTGAAACAACACTGGACCGGCTGGACCCCGGAGGGGTTCGACTCGTTTCCAGAGAGGATATGCCGTCGAGAACGGACAGAGAGGAGGCGACGGTGTCGCTGCAAAAGACGCCTGAAGCGTAGTAAACGACCTGGCATCAGAGCTAGGCTAACCGCTACACCGCATAAACCAGCAATTCTAAGTGTTTTCTCGCCAATGTTCGCTCTCTAGTTAACAAGATGGACGAAATGAAACTTTGGGACGTTAACAACCATATAGACAGCTGCATCACAGTAATAACAGAGACCTGGCTGCATGAAAACATCCTGGCCCTAGCTGTGGAGCTAGCTGGACGCACAATCTTCCGGGCAGACTGCACATCAGACTCCGGTAAGATGAGAGGGGGTGTGTGTGTCTACGTCAACAACAGCTGGTGCACAGCCGCTGTCATAGAGAGACACTTCTGTCCAGACCTGGAGTTTCTACTGTTAAAGTGTCGACCTTTTATCTGCCGAGAGACATCGCTCAGGTGTTTGTAGCTGCTGTGTACATCCACCCACAAGCTAATGCCAATGTAGCCATGAGTAGGCTGCATGACAGCATCAGCAGGCAGCAGAACGAACACCCAGAGGGCTTCTTCTTCATCGTGACTGGGGACTTTAACTACACCAATTTAAAAACTGTGCTCCTCAGGTTCTACAAGAATGTGGACATTAAAACTAGAAATGACAGAATATTAGACCAGGTCTATACCAACATTCCTGGAGCCTATAAAGCACGCTTCCCCCCCCACCTCGGACACTGAGACCATCTCTCCCTATTCCTTACACCAGCCTACAAGCCCCTCATCTGCAGGTCTAAGCCACAGTACAAGACCATGCAGTGCTGGATTGATGAGGCCACACTGTCCCTGCAGGACTGTTTTGAGAACACCACTTGGGAGCTCCTTGAGGAACCTGACATTGAGCTCCACACCTTCCACCACAAGATCCCACCAGCAGCTACAAAAAGAAGGTCATCAGCTGCCTCCAACAGCTGGAAAAGGATAAAGCCATTGATAGACCACTGTACCACCGGCTACATCCGGGAAAAGCCATTCCCCGTATTTATGGTCTCCCCAAAATCCACAAGGAAGGAGCTCGACTCAGACCCATCATCAGCAGCATCAATTCAGTCACTTATAACATCGCCAAACACCTGGCCTTCATCCTTTCACCATTGGTTGGAAACACACCTTACCACATAGCCAACTCACAGGACATCTCTAAAGAGATAAGGGGCCTAACAACAACCAAAAAAACAACAAATCGACATCACATCCTGTTGTCGAGGCTTCATGCTCACAATGGGATTACTTCTAAGACAATGTAGGAAGAACTCTGAAGCTCTAATTGGATCAATAAAGTCAGGATTACAATGTGTTTTTTGTTTTGAGGGTGTTTTGGATTTCAGCCAACTCATTAGTAGAAATACACGGTGCAGTGAGACGCACAGAATGCACGACATGAAAGTATAACTCCTTGCACTTGACATGCAAAAAAAAAAAAAAACATTGTTTGATGCTTTGGTACCATTTTAAAAAAAATAAATACGCAAGCAGGCCCAGCCACTGGTTCCAATATGTGGAAGACAAAATCAAGGTCCATGAGGTCAACAACTTCACAATTCACATCAACGCGGTGGACAGGAACATCAAGTTCACCAGAGAAGATGTGAAAAACAACAGCCTTGCTTTCCTGGACTGTGCGGTTCACATCACAGAGGACAGACATCTTAAAATAAAGGTGTACAGGAAACCAACTCACACCGACCAGTATCTCCGTTTTGACTCACACCACCCACTGGAGCACAAATTAGGTCATCAGAACCCTACAGTCACGGGCAGACACCATTCCCACCACCAACAGAGGTAAGATGAGAGAACAGGGACACATTAGGACAGCCCTTAAGACCTGGGGGGGACCCGGGGGGGGGGGGGTGTTGTCATTCCATACATTTCAGGAGTTTCGGAAAAACGTAGGAGGATCTTTAACCAACACCAGATGCCCGTACACTTTAAACCCGGTAACACCCTGAGACAAAAACTGGTTCATCCAGAAGACAAGACACCAAGAAACAAGCTGGACAATGTGGTTTATGCCATTCAATGCAGTGAAGAGTGTACAGACCTGTACATTGGGGAGACCAAACAACCGCTACACAGGTGCATGGCTCAACACAGGAGGGCCAACTCCTGAGGACAGGACTCAGCTGTTCACATACACCTCAAAGACAAAACACACTCAGTCGAGGACAACAATGTTCACATTTTGGCCAGGTAAGACAGACGGTTTGAGAGAGGGGTAAAAGAAGCCATTTTTGTCAACCTGGAAAAACCATCACTCAACAGAGGAGGTGGGCTAAGACACAACCTATCACCAACATACAAGGCTCTCTTAGGAACAATACCCACAAGATTCTCTTCAGTCTTACACAACAAGAGACGTGACATTCCCAGCTGACCCCAACGCCCCACCCAACAGGGGGAAGCTGAAGTAGCTTTATTCTTTCACACCCAGAGTATATATTTGCTATACTCCCCACCACCAGTTAGAACAGAAGAAGCCTCTTCGATGAGAGGTGAAACGTCTTCTTTGAGAAAATTTTACGTCCAGTTGCCTAACAGAACTCTTCAACCTCATTTCAATATTTACTTTGTCATTTGGCGGACAAAGTAAGCGGTTTCCCTCTGGAGACGCTATGAACAGTTATCAAATCAAACAACTTAGCTGTTGTAACATTTCAGAAGAAATCAATAAAAGGCTTTATTGTTTTGTAGAAAAAACAACATCAGGACTTATTCTGAAGCCAATATGCTCTAAAACAGCAAAATGCACTTGTTGCACCTCAGAATATATTGCAGAACACGATTGTGATCCCCCTCGTGTCTGGTTACAGGCTGTATAGTTCAGACCCATTTTAAACACATGGTGTAAATTGTACTAGGGTGAGAACAACACTCCTGGACTATCGAAGGCATCATCGCAGAGGCAGCAAAAAAAACTTCTGACACTAACCTTTATTAAGAGCACGCCCAACAAAAGAAAGCAACTTCAGCAATTCTTTTCTCCACACACCTACAACCGTTCTGCTAAACATGTCCTTTAAACAGTGATTTACTTGCTGTCTGATGTTAAACATCCATTCACTATTCAAGGTTATTATTTGTGCTCAGAATCAAGGCTAAAAATCAGTCACATAATTACCAAAAATAGCATCGACCATGCTAACCTGACATGGTAGCAAACGATAAGAAAGGATCATGTACAGCAAGATTCATGTACATTGTTTATCCTTTTGTATTGCCAGAAAAAATGGAAAATCAGCTAAATATTAATATAATTGCTCAAATTCTACTTTGATTACAAACCTGAATCTTTATTGAACATGCACAAGGGCACAGAACATATTAATACATGGAAACAAATTTAGGAACTGATGCAATACACAATAGTGATGGTGGGAATGATTAAATTGGACACAAATAGCATTTTAATTTAGACACATTGTTTTCATTTGCCTGATAAATAAAGAATTTAAAGCACCACAAATTAAACGTTTCACTTTCTCATTTAATTTAAAGGAATTAAATAGATGTGTTCCGACAAGCTTACTGTGTTGGCAGTGAACTCCATAGAACCCTGGTGGACACTTGCAGACGTAGCCTATGAAGGTGTCGCCCCTGAAGGTCTCACTGATATCACATGTTCCTTTGTTGTGGCAGGGGTTTGGATGGCAAGGTCCTGTGTAGAAAAAAAAAATGTTGAGATCCCTGTTTCAACTTATCACTTTTTGAAGCATTAAGTATTAAATCTATCTCGTAATTTATTATGATTTTATATATATATATATATATATATATATATATATATATATATACACAGTGTTATTTAAGAAGAGAAATGAAGTTTATAGTATATACAGAGTGT